GGGACGGTCGGGGGGCCCAGCTCAGAGGACGTGTCGGGCCCGCGGTCCGAGGCCTCCACACGTGTGCGGCGCTCTCCGCGGTGCTCCAGCTCTGGCACCAGCTCGGGGTGCCAGCTCAGGTTCTCGAGCGCTTTCGGCGTCCTCGGCGGTTCTCCGGCCTCGGCAGTGCCCCGCCGAGAGCGTTTTTCGGGTCGGGCGAAAGGGGGGGATAGCAAAGGGGGGGTTTGAGAATCAGCTCACGTAGCTGATTTTCCCGGCGCCTCCCGGCGCCAGAGGCGGCCGTGTATCGAGGAATGGGCCCCTCGGTGAGGCCGAAACCAGCTGCATGTACCCCCCCCCTTCCCAATCCCCCCCTTTCGTCCGGCCCGAGTTTTCCGGGGGTGCCCGCATCGCCGAGCGGCCGCCGGAGAGCAGAGCTACCGGCCGGTGTGACCCGAGAGCCAAGGGGCAACGGTGGGGGCCAGCTCGGGGGGGGGGGGGGAGCATCAACCTGGACTCGGCGGTGCATCGCCGGCAGGTCGGCGATCGGCCTGCGACGGCGCAGCCGCACGGTCCTGGGCGGGGTGGGCCATCGGGCCCCCCGTCGGCGCCGAATGGGCGACGGGGGGTCGAGGCCTCGCCCCTGAGCCTCTCTCCCCTGACGGTGTCCCCGGATGGAGGAGCCAAAGACTGGACAGACATCGACGTTTGGAGGTCTGCGCGGATGTCTTGGCCAGGCGCTGGATCCTCCTGGGCGGCGAACAATGGGGGGGATGAGCGGGAGTAGAGGTGCTCTTCCCGGGCCCTACAGGTCCCCTTTCGAGCCCGAAAGGGCCCCTATGGGGTGTGGGGCCCTAACGGGCCCCTTTTCTGCAGCCCTCGCTGCCCCCCCCGTGTACCGCCGCCCCATTACGCGGCGCCTGACCCCCTGCGCCAGGGGCGGCGCCAAAGGCGCCGCCAGAGGGGCCCATCGCCGAGCCGAGGAACGTGAGAGAGGAGCCCCGAAAGTTGTACGGTTCACTCTGCGGTCTTCTTCTCTTCTCCGGCCCGAGACAAGGGGGCACTCCCAGGCCCCCTCGCGGGCGATTGCCCATGATCGCCCTCCTGTTTTTTTGCACTGGTGCTCGTGTGGCCGCCTCGTCCTCTCGCCCTCGAGACAAGGGGGCACTCCCAGGCCCCCTCGCGGGCGATTGCCCATGATCACCCTCCTGTTTTTTTGCACTGGTGCTCGTGTGGCCGCCTCGTCCTCTCGCCATCCCACTGCCTGACGTGCGCCCCCTGCCCGGCGGCCTCCGCGGTGCCCGCGGTGCGCGCACAGGGCCGCGGCGCGCGCGGCGCCGCGGCCCTCCGGACGCCTCGCGCCTGCGTGCGGCGTGCCCAGGAGAAGACCGCCCTCGCGCGGTGAAGTCGGCGGCGCGCACCAGGGGGTACAGCCGGCCCGTATCAGAAGAACGCACGCTATGGACTGCTTACTTCGGGGAGACGTAAGACCCGGGTACGGGGGACTCGGAAATCCCCGACGAGGTCGTCAAAAAAATGACGAGGCCGAGCCTGCATTTTGACGAGGCCTCCCGCTGCAGACATCCCACGAAACTCCTCCTCGTCAAAATCCGAGTCGCGGTCGTCAAAGAACGATGGCGAACCCGAGTCCCGGCAAACCCGGGTCTTACGCTCCCCCGATTACTGTGCGGGTTCGCGGTAGGGGGGGGGGAAGGGGGGGGAAGGCGTCTCAGAGGGGGGCTGTTTCTTAGACGGCGCCAGCCTCACATCCGCAGAGAAAGCCCGCGCCTCCTGAGAAGCAGGGTGCTGCAAATAGAACGCAGCAAAAACACCCCCATAAAAATAATGAACACCCCGACAACCAAAGGCATTTCGCGAACGGACCTAAGGAAAGAATCGGCCAGGGCAGGACTGTTCAGTAGAAGCCCAGGGCCTCTTCGCAAACGCCGAGTATGGGGGTCGGGGTGGTCTTTCTTCCCTCCCTGGACCTCAAAGCCCCCCCCCCCGTTACCCCCAACTCTGCGCGCGGCCGATGGAAAGAACCACGGCGCGAGGGTTCCCACCCGTCGCTCGCCCCCCCTGGGCCTCACACGGAGGCTCCTCCTCGCGACGGCGGGGCTCTCCCCTCCTCCAGGCTCTGGCCGGCTCGCGCCCCTGGACGGACGCCCGGGGGCCGACCTTGGAGCCCCGGGCCCGGGCTCGAAGCCAAAGCCGGGACGACCAGACCCCATCGGGCGAGGCCAAATCGATCATCTCTGAGACCCAGCGGCTCTGGAGGATGTTTTTACCAGCCTGGAACATATCCCTATCCCTAGTTATGCTGGGCATCTCCTCATCACGATGCCAATCTTAGGGATTCCCTTATTTTTTGAGGGCGCATCCCTAAGATTGTCATCGCCTTTTGGCGTGTCAATCTTAGGGATAGGGATAAGTTCGAGGCTGGTAATGTTAGAGCGTTCCAGGACGCTCCGGGAGCGCTCCTGAACGCTCTGGCACGGCCGCAGGCTCGTCCTAGCCCGGTCCGGCAGGCCCCCCCGCGTCGTGGAAGAGCAGCGAGAAGGAGGCTGTAAGACCTTTCTGACCTCAGGTCGGGCATGTCCCCCTGCAGGAGGATTCTGGGCGACGAACTAGAGGCAATCAAACATTATCCGGGAGAAAAACCCAACCATATGCAGTTGTGAGTAACGCGCTGTGGGTGCCGCGGTGGAATTCCCTATGGGCCCACGAAGCGCGTGAAGGACGTGCCGTAATGGGTGGGGGAGACGCATGCGGGCGCTCCCACTGGGGCCTTCGGTGGAGCTCCGTATGGGGCCACGAAGCGCTATACTGGGTGGTGGCTGACGCATGCGGGCGGTGCCCCTCGCTGGAGCTTCCGATGAGGCCACGAAGCGGTGTACTGGTTTGGGGAAACGCATGCGGGCCGCGCCACTGGGGCCGTCGGTAGCGCTCCTTGTGGGGCCAAGAAGCGCTGTGCTGGGTGGTGGCTGACGCATGCGGGCGGTCCCAATGGGACCATCGGTGGAGCTCCCTTTGGGGCCACAAAGCATTGTACTGGGTGGTGGCTGACGCATGCGGGCGGTGCCACTGGGGCCTTCGGTGAAGCCCCCTATGGGGCCACGAAGCGCTGTACTGGGTGGTGGCTGACGCATGCGGGCGGTGCCACTGGAGCCTCTGGTGAAACCCCTTTTATGGGGCCACGAAGCGCTGTGCTGGGTGGTGGCTGACGCATGGGGACGTTGCCACTCGGAGGGTCTTATGGGCCCACGAAGCGCTGTACCGGGTGGTGGCTGACGCATGCAGGCGGTTCCACTGGGGCCGTCGGTGGGGCTCCCTTTGGGGCCACGAAACGCTGTACTGGGTGGTGGCTGACGCATGAGGGCAGTGCCACTGGAGCCTCTGGTGAAACCCCTTTATGGGGCCACGAAGCGCTGTGCTGGGTGGTGGCTGACGCATGCGGGCTGTCCAACTGGGACCTTCGGTGGAGCTCCCTATGGGGCCACGAAGCGCTGCACTGGGTGGTGGCTGACGCATGCGGGCGGTGCCACTGGGGCCGTCGGTTGAGTTCCCTGTGGGGCCACGAAGCACTGTACAGGGTGGTGGCTGACGCATGGGGACGTTGCCACTCGGAGGGTCTCATGGGCCCACGAAGCGCTGTACTGGGTGGTGGCTGACGCATGCAGGCGGTTCCACTGGGGCCGTCGGTGGGGCTCCCTTTGGGGCCACGAAACGCTGTACTGGGTGGTGGCTGACGCATGAGGGCAGTGCCACTGGAGCCTCTGGTGAAACCCCTTTATGGGGCCACGAAGCGCTGTGCTGGGTGGTGGCTGACGCATGCGGGCTGTCCAACTGGGACCTTCGGTGGAGCTCCCTATGGGGCCACGAAGCGCTGCACTGTGGTGGCTGACGCATGCGGGCGGTGCCACTGGAGCCTCTGGTGAAACCCCTTTTATGGGGCCACGAAGCACTGTACAGGGTGGTGGCTGACGCATGGGGACGTTGCCACTCGGAGGGTCCTATGGGCCCACGAAGCGCTGTACTGGGTGGTGGCTGACGCATGCAGGCGGTTCCACTGGGGCCGTCGGTGGAGCTCCATGTGGGGCCACGAAACGCAGCACTGGGTGGTGGCTGACGCATGCGGGCGGTGGCACCGGGACCTGCGCTGGAGCTCCTTGTGGGGCCACTAAACGCAGCACTGGGTGGTGGCTGACGCATGCGGGCGGTCCCACTAGGGCGTGGGGTGGAGCCCCCTATGGGGCCACGAAGCGCTGTACTGGGTGGTGGCTGACGCATGCGGGCTTTGCCACTGGGACCTTCGGTTGAGCTCCCTCTGGGGCCACGGAACGCTGTACTGGGTGGTGGCTGACGCATGCGGGCGGTGCCACTGGGGCCTTCGGTTGAGCTCCCTGTGGGGCCACTAAAACTTCGGTGGAGTTCCCTATGGGGCCACGAAGCGCTGTACTGGGTGGCTGACGCATGCGGGCGCTCCCACTGGGGCCTTCGGTGGAGCTCCCTATGTGGCACGAAGCGCTGTACTGGGTGGTGGCTGACGCATGCGGGCGGTCTCACCAGGACCTTCGGTGGAGCTCTCGGTGGGGTCACGCAACGTCGTACTGGGTGGTGGCTGACGCATGCGGGCTTTGCCACTGGGGCCTTCGGTGGAGCTCCCTATGGGGCACGAAAAGCTGTACTGAGTGGTGGCTGACGCATGCGGGCTTTGCCACTGAGACCTTCGGTGGAGCTCCCTGTGGGGCCACGAAACGCTGTACTGGGTGGGTGAAACGCGGGGAAGAGGGAGGAAGGGGAGGAGGAGGAAGGAAGGAGGAACGCGGGGACCGCAAGTTGAAATTAGCCTGGCGAAGGATTAAACCACATGCAGTTGTGAATACCGTCGTTGTATGCACCGAATTCGGAGGAGTTCCCTAGCGACACGAAACGTTTGAGGGGTGTATCACAACTTGTCCAGTGGGCGCATGCGACGGCAGCCACTGGGGCCGTC